TCGCTCAGGCGGGGCTTCCCTGGAGGGGCGGGAGTGGCAATGCTGGGAGGCGGGAGGCGGGAGGGAGAAGGAGAGGATGTTCTGGGAAAACAAGAACCCGCACCAGCACCGGCCACCGGCACCAGCACCGGCACCGGCACCGGCACCGGCACTGGCACCAGCACCGGCTACGGGCCACCGGCACCGGCCACCAGCACCGGCACCGGCACCCGCACCCGCACCCGCACCCGCACTGGCACCGGCACCAGCAACGGCACCGGCACCGGCACCGGCACCGGCACCGGCACCGGCACCGGCACCGGCACCGGCACCGGCACCGGCACCGGCACCGGCACTGGCACCGGCACCGGCACCGGCACCGGCACCGGCACCGGCACCCGCACCGGCACCGGCACCGGCACCAGCACCGGCACCAGCACCGGCACCGGCACCGGCACCGGCACCGGCACCGGCACCGGCACTGGCACCGGCACCGGCACCGGCACCGGCACCGGGGCAAGAATCGTTCATGCCTTACATCATCGGGAACGGACAGCATCTCATAACTGGATACAGTTTGGTTGGACACGAGCAGCGGGCACCAACTCCTGCGCTGGATGCAGTATTGTATTCTCATGTAAGCTAGATCAAAAAAAGAACATCATCCGCGTGGTGACCGCACCTCTTCATATACAAAGCCGAGCTGGAAGCGTGGATGTACAACGGGGTCCACATCGGGTCATATATATGTATATATATATGTATATATATATATATATATATATATATATATATGTATTAGTGTCGCCTATTTTTCACCACGCCCACACCCCGCCCAGGACCATCCTTTTTGGAAGAAGACCTGTCTGGAGCTTTGGATATGGAAATTACATCGTGCCAGCAATACGCCCAGACGAATCGCCCCGATTATGTTTAATGCCATGCATTGACGTTTCGGCCAACACGGACAAACGAATGCACCGATTCCAGCATCGGCCCCTACCAAACAGGACCCGCATATGACCTGGCCTAGTATATCCACAGCGAGATGGACATCGACGAGCTCAACGCCATCAACAGTTATTGGAACCTGGGCCCCAGCTATTCTGGCAGTCACAAGCTTCACAGCCGTATTGACTATTGTAGTGGCCTCCGGTCAATGCCGCCGATCCGGGGCGCTCGTGATGCTATTGTTGTTGAAATGGACGATGACGACGACAACGGACGACCAACGGTCGACGAGCGGGATAATTACGACGACGACCGACGAAGGGTTTAATGACGACGAACCGACGACGACGACGAGGACGACGACGACTGACGGCGGACGGCTGCCGACGGCCGAGGACCGACGACTGGTGACGGCGACGGGCGGAAGGTTCTTCGTTCATCGCTTTCGCTTCCGAGCAGTACCAAGTCAGGCCGTGCACTTCTGGCCTGGCAGCACGCGAGTGAGCGCCTCTTGGGGCCTCTCGGTTCTTGGGGCTTCTTGGGGGCCTTTCGGGCCTCTTGGGGGTCTCTCGGGGTCATCTTGGGGGCCTCTTGGGGACCTCTTGGGGGCCTCTGGGGGCCCCTTGGGGGCGCCTCGGGGGCATCTTGGGGGCTCTTGGGGTCATCTTGGGGTGGAGGACCAGAAGGGTCCGTTCGGAGTCACCCTCTTGAGGCCATCTTGGGGGCCTCTCGGGGTCGTTTTGGGGGGCCTCCAGGGCTATATTGGTGCCCTCTTGGACCGTCTTGGCTCCTCTTGGGGGACTCTCGGGCTGTCTTGGGGCGATCTTGGGGGCCTCTTAGACCGTCTTCGGCGCTTCTAAGACAGAAAATGCGATAATGTTAAAGTGCTTCAAAACCTGTTAGCAACTTTATTATTGTACCCTCTTGGAGCCTTCTTTGGGGTCCTCATGGGATCTCCTTGAGGCGTTTTGGAGACTTGTTAGGCAGTCTTCAGGCCATATTAGGCGTCCAGGAGCGCTCTTGGGCCGTTTCGGGCGCCTCCTGGACCGTTTTGGTGGCCTCTTGGGCCTCTTTTGGCCCGTCTTAGGGCGGCTTGGGATTCCCGGGGGCCCGGCAGAGCCCCCCCGGCCCCCCTCCAGCAAAGCTGAAAGTCAGGTTGTTGCTTTCTTAAACCCATCCGCCGGAGGCCTTCTGGGGTCTTGGCGGGCCCCTTTTGGCCCGTCTTGGGGCGGTTTGGGATTCCCGGGGGGGGGGGGCGGAGAAAGGGTGGACCCCGTGGCCCCCTCCCCCCTCACCCCCCCCTTCCCCGGCAGAGCCCCCCCGGCCTCCCCCAGCAGAGCTGAAACTCAGGTTGTAGCTTTCTTAAACTCACACGCCGGATCGACAGATTTTATTGCCCCCGCCAGTCTGAAGTACGCAGTCCCCAACATGGTCATGGCCTTTCATGCCTCCAAGCGTTTGCGTTCGCTACCCGTCATCGACCATGTGCCCATGACCATGGAAGTGCGCATCTCGACCCCGGAACAATAGAGATACCAGGATTCACCACGTTGGGACTGGGGCCTGCTCGTCGCTTGCCTACAGAAGGGACATCATACATGCGCCTTCCTTATGGAATTGTATGACCAGCACGCGCAGCATCGTACGCGACTCACGCGACCCACAGCCGACGCGAACCCGACCCGACATGCAGCAGTTGTTGGCTACATCATCAAGAGCACAGCCAATTAGTTCTTCGCGCGTGAGGGCACTACTCCGACATGGGTCACCGACGCCACGGCTGAACGGTTTCGACTCTTACAACGAGCCAAGCTATGTGAATACGGACATACCCTACACTATCAAACCCTCCGACAAGTCTCTCATCAGTTGAAGTCCGACCGCCGCAGACGATCAAGTACGAGAAGCGTGTGCAGTGCGCGACCTCGCCCGCGTGGGTCGTCTCGCCCGCATTCGTGCAGGCGCCCGCGCAGGCATCAGGAAGCGCAGCTACCTCCCCGTCGCTGCCATGCGACCACGCGGACAAGCCTTCCTCGCAGCCCTCGCCGAACCAGCTACTGAGGGCGGCATGAGTGCGAGCCCGCATCCCACGAGCCCCTACTTGCAGGACGCCCGCATCGGACGATTGCTGAGTGCGCCAGTGGAGGACATCGCCCAGTACGGCCCTGTGCAGTATGGAGCGACACAGACCGACCTCGACGCAGCAGTGGAGGACCTCGGCTACATGAAGGCTCGCATCTGGAGAATAATAAAACGTCGGTGATGCAACCCAGGATTGTCGTGGCCTCGAGAGATCACGCATCTTCTCTTTTCCATTTTTCTTTAAACAATAACCCGTGGATCCCCAGCGCGAGCGCGTCGGCCTGGGCCGCAACGACGATCGTTATCTTCGCGTCCAACAAGTTGCCCTAAGTGAACAACCTGCCCGACGCCCGCGCTGCCAGATGCCCTTCGAAGACGCCCGCGTCGGCCGCGCCCATTTCGCGTCGCCCCTGGCTCACGCGTGTGCCGCGCGTGCATTTCCATCGCGAGCCGTCTGAGCCAGGTCGTCGCACTTGGAAATACAAGCCAAAAGTCCAGTGGCGACGAGATTCGTGACATCAACCATTGCCTCCGACTCCTGCGTTGCTTCTGCCACTGGTGGCGGATGCACTTACGAGTGGGCCTCTGTGACCGCGGAGGACCTCGTCCAGCCCCGGCGTGGGATTTGGCGGCGTCCGACAGCGACGGCGAGAAGAGCTCGTGCTCCCCGTGATGGTCGCGATGTGGCGCCTGCGCGCAGCTGGGCGACACTTCCTCGTCAAGTCTTACAGTGTGCGCAATGCGTTCGCGACGGGTGGCCACGGCGTCCTGTTCGAGGCCCGCTACGACCGTGCCGATGACGAGCGCGTCGACGAGCTTCCCGCCCAACGTCGCTCACGAGCAGTCCTAACCATCGACGCCAGCAACTCCCGCGCTTCAGTCCGACCAGCCCCAGGAGGCCGCGTGGGGGGCAGTAGCGGGCCCGGGCTTTTCATGGCGGCCTTCAAAGGGGGTGGTGGGCCTGGCTGGAGGGGGCCGCGGAACTCGCCAATGGCGACCTCGCGGCAGAGTGCCCCATCACCAACGCCAAGCAGCAGATTTTAATGGGCGTATTCATGGACGACCTGATCCGCATCTTTGCGCTCCCCGATGGGCCGCCGCGTGCAAGATGGGCGCTCGCTGTGGACTACCTCGACAACGTCGCCCTCGCCGAGTGCATCCACGTGACAGGTCGCCGCCAGAGCGTCGAGAAGCAGGGCGCGCTCGTTTATGCTAACAAAGCCAGGGTCACCCGCGACGTAGAGCACCGCATCGCAGGCGCCAGCGTCGCCGACCTCGCCCGCCTCCGCGGCCCCGTCGCTCCCGCGGGCTCCAACGGCACGGAGATTCGCGAGTGTATCAAGGCAGCCGCCGTAGGATGGGCGCGCCCGGGCAACTACTGGACTTGCCTTGGCCCGTGGATGTATAAACGCAGCGCCTTCGTTGCTGGCGTCGCTGGGCGAGCCTGGTCTGCCATGGGGAGCTGCGTCTTGACAGCAGCCGGGCGCAGCGAGCTCGACGTGCGCCTAGCTAAGAAGACGCGTTCAATGCTACTTGGACGGGCCCACCGAGAATATTGCGACGGAGTGCGTCGGAGTTGGGCAGCAGACGAAGTATTTCGTGAATGGCAACTCGCACCGACAGCAGTGGAACATAGGATCAATCGGCTCAACTGGTGGAAGGTCATCATCTCTGACCCTGACTACCGCGCCCAATTTTTGGTCGCGTTCCTGAGCGAATGCAGTTTTGAGATTCATGCTGGGGCAAGTGGGCGCCCGGCACGATTGCCGCCGCTACCGGGCGACCAACTGCGAGCTGATGCGGGGGTCCATCCGTGCGCGGTCCAGCTCCACAACGACGCGCAACAATTATTGGGCCACCCGATGGGCGCGACTTCCAAGGAGGCATGGGGCCTTCCGACGATGCATGCGCTCTCTCGGGGCGAGCGCGTTCGCCGGGCCTATGTTGCATGTGGCGCGCGCCTATTCCGCAGCGCGTGCATGGGCAGCCAGTGGGCCCCCAGTGGCTCGATGGCAGCAGATGCGCCTGCCGTTGGTCGGGGGGTGGGTGGGACTGATGGCGAGACGGAGCTACTGGACCCCTCTCCGATGCAACGTTGAAATGTGTAACGCAAGGTTCTCCACCGCCCATCGTCTTGCCATGTGCCAGACATATTCGTCGGCCGCTGGTCGCGGAAGATCGACGAGTATCATTGCCATCGTTATCGACAACGTATGCCTCGGCTGCTCTACTACATTTTCATGCGTCGATCATTGCTTTCGCCACCAACGCAAATAACGGGAAGCGAACCGACGTCTCCATGAACTAACCCATGAATGGAAACCATCGTGCGCGACCGGATGCCCGTTAATGGTCATCAGCGTGAAGCCCGAATGCCGCGAAATATACAACGATCCCCGATAATTACGTCACCAGCTCCGTCGGGATCAAGCCCGAGCCTTTGCGCGTGACGGCCGAGGCGCCGACGGGACAGGTGCCTGCGCATATCTCGCGACATTTCTCAGGGAAGCGCCGAGCGGTGTGGGCGCTTGAGGACGCGGCCGAACTGCGAGATCATGCGCGGATTGCGCGCGGCCATCCATCGACGGCAACCGGATCCAGATCAATGTTCGAGAGCCCGACCAGTGCTGATGGCGACAACAGCGAGAGTGACCGGCGCCCCTACCTCTGGGAACGCGCCAGCGCTAGTAGCCGCCGCCCCCGTGCTACCAGCGTCTCTTCGACAGGCGGCGCGACGAGAGGATGGCGGCAGCGGCCGCCGCGCAGCCCGCGACGACGAGAGCCAGCTGGCGCCCCTTCCCCCCGCGGCCCCCCCCCGGCCACTGGGAGCTCTGGCGCCGCCGCCGCCGGCAGGCAGAAGGCCGAGCAAAAGGGGGCAGTAGGGGAACTCAGGCGCAGAGGTGCCGACGCGGGCCAGAGCGACGACGAGGGCGCGCCCAAGGACCAACGGCGCCGCGAAGTACGCAGAGGAGGCCGGCGACAGCGAGGACGACGCACGGAGAAGACCAGGGCGAGCCGCGACGAGAACTTGAGCGAACTGCCGCGTGCGATCTCCAAGGTCGCGCTGATGGGCGCCCAGGGGCTGGGGACCCTGAGCGCGGCCGTCCTCGACGTGTTCAACGTGGCCCGAGAGCGCCGGCTGATCGTCGCGCTCGCAGCCGAGTTTGACAACTACAAGGCGCGCGTCGAGAAACCCCGCAAGGTCGACATCGGCGGCGGCAGCAAGAAGACGCTTCGCGAGTACTTAGACAAGTGCCAGCCGCCCGGCGACGCAGTGCCGACCGTGACCAGGACGCAGCTCGAGCAGCAGGTCACTATGATCAAAATCGAGAAATGCAACGACGAGAAGCATATCAAACTGCTGCTCGTAGCACCTCGCTGGGACCTCTGCGCCGACGTGATCGCCGCAGCCAGGGCCGAAGAGACTATGATGCGCCGCCTGGGGATCGCCCCGCCTGGCTGGCTGGGGGAGGAACTGAGCATATGGCTCGACGCCCTAGGCCGCAAGTAGTTCGACTCGTCCTCGGAGAGATTCTAGCCAGCACGATCCCCGCCCCCCCTCCTGAACCCCCCTCTTCCCCCGAGCCCGTGCCCAAGCAGCCGGCGAGGAGCAGCTCGAGCAAAAAACGATAAAAACGAAAACCGCTTCCCCGACGAAGATGCCGACTTTCAGGCAGCCGAGTTGTTGTTTGGATAATTTTTGTCGCCGTGGAGCGAGCCCAGCTCTTGAGCCAGCGCTCGAGTGGGCGCCGCGCCTGCACGCCACTTCGCGCTAAGGAAATACATCCTGGCGGCGGGTTTCAGATGATGTGCTATAAACTCTCAAGGGCCTCGAGTCGTGGGTTGGCACGCAGTCGCCGTCCTTAACATCGCAGCCCCACGCGCTGATGAAAAAGTCGTCGTCGTGGTCGTCGTGTTCGTCGTCGTGTTCGTCGTCGTGGTGGTTGTGGTCGTGCCCGTGGTCGTGGTCGGGGTAGTCGTGACCTAGGTCGTGGTTGTGGTTGTCATCGTTGTGGTGGTCGTGGTGGTCGTGGTGGTCGTCGTGGTCGTGGTCGGCGTCGTCGATTTCGTCGTTGTGGTCGCGGTCGTCTTCGCCGTAGATCGAGGATCGAAGCTTTTGGGTGTTCATGGCCCCTTATTCGGCCTCAGGAGGCCTCCTCCGCCGTGGGGGGTGCAGCTCGGTTTCGGGGAGCGCCAAGCCGAGACCTTCGGCGTCGTGGGTTTTATTCTCAATGCTGGATGTTTTGTCGATTATGTTTTGTGGAGGCCCTTTTCGGGTCTCGGGGCCGTCGAGCAACGAAGGGGTCGGGACTTTTGGCGAACCCGCATCGAAAGGTCGCGATGTCGAAGATCTTGGACGATCTATGGCACGGAGGTCCCCCACACCAGGAAATCGGCTTCTGGATCGGTTCGGTTTGTGTCATGTGTGCAGGTGAGGCGAAAAATAGTGTGCGGTCGAAGAGGATAGTCGGCCGTTGCTACCGGCAAGTACGACAAATACGTTTGTTCTTGTGGCCAGAGTCCATGCCATGGGGGTTGTTTTTCCCACTTGGCTCCGTTGTCTGACGGGGATGGTACCCTGCAGTTGCTTCATTGTTGACCAGTGTGGGTATCCGGTGGTAGTTCCTTGATTGTGGGTAGCGTCGCTAGTTTGATGAGACCAGCCGGACAGGTCTAGTTCAGTTTAGCGTTGCAATCATATACGTGTACACATATATACACATGTACATAAACATTGTAAGCTAAACAAACCGTCGGTTAACCATTTTGCCAGACAGGTTGTCGGCCAGCTAGATTTTTCGTCTGACGGCTTCTCATATCACTTATGCCACTCGTTAGGAATATCGTGAGCATATACTTTCAAGGCCCAAGCGTTTGTTCTACAGTCATGTATGACGCTAAGCAGCCATCGTGCAGGTCGTCTACTCGACATGGCATTTTTTGTTCAATCGGTAGCAGCTCTGCGTAGAATCCTAGTGTCGGCAAGTCAGAGCGTGGTCAGATCACTGGATACGTGTATGCACCTGGTTGAAAGGTTGTCGTGTATGTATGTATGCATACATACATGCATGTATGTATGCTTGTTTGTTTGTTTGTCTGTCTGTATGTATGTAGGGGAATATATATATATATATATATATATATATGCATGAATGTATGTATGCATGCATGCATGCATGCATGTGTATGTATGTATGATATGTATGTGTATATATCTATATATATATATTATAATATAATATATCTAAGCAATATGTATTGTAATATGTATATTATATATATATATATATATATATAAATATAATATATATATATATATGTATAATTGTATATCTTCAGAGATAGGCCTTCGACCCATCCCGCCACTGTGCTTGGGTTGTGGGTATGAAGCCTATTGAATGTGGGATCTCGTGGGAGGCCTCTCGCGGGCCTCGTGTTTTTTTCGGCCGTTTGGGGGCCTCTCGGGGCCTGTTGGGGGGCTCTTGGGGGCCTCTTGGGGCCTATTTGGCGCCTTTTTGGTCCATCCTGGGCGCCTCGTGGGGCGGAAGTCTAGGATTTTCGGTTCGTGTTCCCTCTTTTGGGTGGGCCGTCTTGGGCGCCTCTTGAGCCGCCGTCTTTGGGCCCTCTTGGAGGCCTCTTGGGCCGTTTTGCTGTGGTCTTGGGGGTCTCTTGGGCCGTCTTCGAGCGTCGGAAAGCCGAAAAGGCGAGAACGCCAAAATCCGTCAAAAATTCATGGATAATCAACAATTCTTGCCTCTTGGAGCCCTGTTGAGAGGCCTCTTTGAGGCTTCTTGGAGCGGGTTGGCGGCTTTTTGGGCCATCTTGAGGCCATCTTGGACGTCTCCCGCCGATCTTTGGGCGTTTCGGGGTCCTCTTGGACCGTCTTGGGGGCCTCGTGGGGCCCTCTTGGCCCGCCTCGGGGCCCTTTTGGACCCGAATCATGCGGGGAGACGCGCTGTAGCCCCGGGGGCACTCGACAAACCCCAAGAGATGTCGGAATTCGGGGCCTGGCCCCTTAAAGACTCCTCAGGAATGAGGACTGACGCTCCAGGCATTGGGCCAAGGACCTGAGGACACCTCAAGCTCGTCGCACCGAACACCTTCGCTGATGCAGGGCCGCCTTGCCGATCATCCTGTGGGCATAGACATCGCATTGATGACTTGCTCATTCAGCAGCCCCACCACTTCGTGGGCAGCAAGAGCTCACGTCGATTATTTTCCTTGGATATGACTCTTAACGCCAACGGGAATCACAATGCCGTCGTCTCCGCGTGCACGGTCGTCCAGTCGAAATTGACTTATTCTTCGCGTGCCGTGCTCAAGAGCAGGTTGGGCGAGGCAAAGCTCCAAGACGACGAGGCGTGCGCTACATTCGGACGCCAGCTCTTGCGCTCGCAGATGCCGAAAAGCGTCCCGACGCGGTGCCTGCCGGCGGCGGCGGCGTGTTCGGGGTGGGCCAGACCCGCCGTGTTGAGGAAGCCGTCGCGGAAGACCGCGTGCAGTTTGTTGCATTTCCGGATCGTCATGGCCCTGTTGGCCGCCGTCGCGGCACGGCGGCCGAGTGCGCGAGGGCGCGTGCGAGGGCGGAAACGGGGAAGACGACGCCCGTGATGCTTGCGCAGTTCGCGTCGAGGGCGCTGTGGAGGAGCAGCGCGACGCGGAAGATCAGGTGCGACAGGTTGCTGCTGTTGATCTTCGGGGGCCGGCTGGCCGCCGTAGCTTGGGGGCCGCGCGCGAACCCTGCCCCTGCCCCCGGCGATTTCTGAGGGGGAGGGTGGGGTTCGCTCCGCTCGGGAGTTCCCGAACGAAGTGGGCCCCACCCTCCCCCTCAGAAATCGCGGGGGTTAGGGGTAGGGTTCGCATGTGTCCCCCCTTATTGTTGCATTTCTGGATCGTCGTGGCCCGGTTGGCCGCCGTCGCGGCGCGGCGGCCGAGTGCGCAAGGGCGCGTGCGAGGGGGGGGACGGGGAAGACGACGCCCGCGATGC